ATCCACAACTTGAATTCTTTGAAGACCAAGTTGTTGCTGGTCTTTTAGCTATATAGAATCATCAGAAATAATATTAATATTGAAAAAATAGGTCTTTGTGTCAGGGAGGAGACTGGGGTTATTAAAAGCACTGGGCCACTTCCCAAAGCCAATCTGAATGCCTTTATCCTCCTCATCCATTCTAGCTCCAATTTACTGTCCATTTGCATTATTTGTCCTTGTACATGTACTTACAGATCAGTTCTGTGAGTTGGTTGTCCATGCAACTGTATTTCATATTCTGGATGACAATCATTTTTAAGCACTTATTTTTCTTTAGTTGATAGGAAAAAAATTTCTTGATTACAAATGTCACTTAATAGATGCAGCAATATTTGAGGCTCTGATACAATCAGCATAATGGCAGTTACCAGCAGACACGTGAAGTACCTCATCATTGCTAAAGAATGTCTCTATTCCATTTGGACACTCTGCTGGACATCATCCATGACAGCAGTAAATACCTTTGGTGAGCAGCCATCACCCTGTTTAATGACTTTCTTGAATAGTCATAGGATCACAAAAAGCACTTCTGGTGTTACATTTATTAAGGAATCTTAGAAAATTTCAACATGCATGTGGAAGACATCTTGTTGGAGGAGAGCCTTAAGGCAACATTTTGCTCTTTTAAATCAAATGGTTTCTAAAGTTGGCAAATAATAATCACAGTGTAATCTTAATATTTTCTATGCTTTTAAGTCATGTGTAACTGTAAAATGTAGTTTCTTACAAAATACAAATTGCAAAATCTCATCTTTTCCCTTTATATCGTCATCATGAATGCCTTCAATGAGTATATAGATGGTTCTCAGAGGGGTAGAAATGGAAAAGTAGGCATATAGGTAAAAAAACTGATAGAGGTTTTTTAGCCACCTTTCTTGGTAAGAATAAGGTCTAAGATTCTGTATGAGTATTTGGCATCCTTTCCGTTGTCACATATATCCTGAGAACTGCTCCTTCATCACCCATACAATTATGCCACCTTTATCACAAATCTTCCCTACGTACACTTCATCTAGTCCAGCTTCTCTTCTGTCTCTGTTTTCCTTAGCTCCATTTCTACTTTTTCATGTAATACCCAGAGGACTATGAGTTGGAATCCAAATGTGGTACCTCCACTGTCACTGAAGAAGAGCAGAACTTGTTACAGAACTCTTTACAGAACTTTCTCTTTTTTGTTGCTCTCCTTCCAGTTTTATCCTTGGACACCCTGTGGATGGCACAGTTTTCTCTAGACTTGTTTCCACATCCACTGCATCTTATTGTTTGATACAGTGATAACTGCTCATAATCTTCCACTATCCTCCTCCATGTGGGAATTGTAGGAACTGAGTGAACCATAATGACTCCAACTTGTGACTCAATTTTGGAACTAGCTCAGTTCCTTTTCTACTCAATTACATCCAGTTTCTGTCTTGTGAGAAAACTTTATTCAATTATAGGAACTGTGAGAAAACTTCATTGCATTGTTTGAACATCCTCTCCCCTCCATAGATATTTGAGAACTGAATAGTGTATAATCTCCTTGCAGGCAGTGATCTGCTCTCAATTATCTTTGTATCTCCCAAGCACAAGTCCTTACAGATAATGGACACTGTATAAATAATACTCATCTAGCCGAAAAGCAGTGTAGTACAGCAGAGTTGACCTTGAAGTTCAGAAAAATTAAATTCAAAGTCCCATCTTTGACACGTATTGACAGGAAACTCTAAGACAGCCAACACGGTATAGAGAGTTTCCACATCAGGGATTCCGGATACCAATGAAATCACAGATCTGACTTTTTTAAATTTGCATTTAAATATTTCATTATGATATGCAAATCACTTTAGAGACGTCATTTCAATTTGACCTCCACAACATCTCACACCATAATACAACGAGTATTATTATTCCCATTTTACAGATAAGGAAACTGAGATTTAAATCACACAACTAGTAGGATTCAGAGGTAAAATTCAAACACAGGTCCTCCTGACTCCAAGTGCAGGACTCTTTACACTACATCATGCTGCTTCCTGAGAACCTTTTATTCAATTGAATAACCAGAATAAATAACCCTTATACAAAAGGAGAACTATACAAAGCCCTTATACAAAGAAGCCTGATGCTTTTCTCTGCCTTCCTAACCCTTCAGTCAAGTCCTCAAAGCCTAGATGCCCAACATAAGTACCTTTTATTGGAGTAGAGAAATTCATTGATTTAAACTAGTTAGATACATATTACATTTCAAATTGTTCAAAAGAAGTTTAACTCCCTTAAGAACAAAAAGATGTATGACTTGGAAAAACTGTGGAATAAAATGACTGAGGGGAGCCAGATTCCTCATAACACACACACACACACACACACACACACACACACACACACACACACACACACTGAGGGGAAAAGAAATCTGGTCTAAAGTCTAAAAAACACACATATGAACAATAGGATTTTTCAAAAAGCTAATTAAAAGTATCATGAACAACAGAGGCAGAAAAAGAAAATCTGATAGCTAGCCCAAGGGATACGTTATGGTGGATAAATAACGTATTCAAAGAAATTAATCAAGAATAATACATAATAATTCAACAAGACACATTATAGCTTAGAGAAAGTATAAAAAAAATCATGTATGTAAGAATTGAGTCACAAAAAACAAGAAGAAATTGTGAAGAAAAATATGACTATGGAGAAAACATTATAAAAACTCAAAACAACATAAAGAAGACTGATAAAAAAATTTTTAAAAGAATTTCAAACAATGAAGAATAGGTAGAAAAACAAATGCAAAAAACAGTTAACAAAAAATCATAGGAGAGACCTGAAGGATAAATCATACAATGTAACAATCTCAGGATCATGGATATCTCCTAAAGTCTTAAAAACAAAAACAGAAGAAACTAAACATTATATTTCTGGAAGGTTTCAAAGAAATTTTCCCAGAATTCCTGAATACAACCAGCAAAAAATAATCCATAGCATGCCCACAAGGAAAAATCAAATATATAACACATCTATAAACATCATAAACCCAATTCTATATTAAGAGGGGAAGACAGTACACATTGCTAGATGAAACAATAACAAAGTAAGAAATAACTTATCATGAAACATGAATTAGAATTAAAGCGGATTTTTCAAGGAAGCCAAGGGATGCAACTTTTACAAAGCATGAGCCATGAACCAGGAATTATCTACCCAATAAATTTCAGCATTCTACAAGATAGGAAAAGGATATTTGAGAAGTAGGGTATGAAAAGTTTACAAAGAAATATACAGAAGGAAAAGAGGTTACACAGATAAGCCAAGCAGTTTTATTACAATTGTGTTCAATTTAATACATTTTTAAGACTGTGCATAATAGAAGTTTAAGGTTTCACATACAATCTTCTTTTTCTATTTTTGTTTGTATATTTACATGTTCACGTATATTGATGATTAAGTTTTTTTTTTGAATTAGGGAAAAATATCTACAGAAAGATATATATGCATATATGTGTGTGTGTGTGTGTGTATACACATACATATATATGTATGTATATCTACTTCCAGGAAGTCTTCCAAAAGCAAAGTCTCAAACAAAAAGAGAAGTATTCAAAATAACCAAAATAAAAGTCATTAAAGAACTAGAAACTACGAAGATGAACCTAAGCTGAGGAATGGCTAAACAAATTTTAGTATAAGAGTGTAATAGAAAAATATTTACTGTTACAAGAAATGACAAAGGGATTGGGTTTCAGAGAAACCTAGGATGGTTAGCACAAACTGATGCAGAGCAAACTGGGCAGAGTTAAAAAGTGATAAAAGTAAAATAAAAAGATAAATTGAATGCAATTTACATGACAACGTTGTAAAGACAAACAATTTTGAAAAATTCAAGAACTCTGATCTATGCAATAAACAACTATGCTTCCAGGGAACTAATGATGTTGTATGCCATCTACTTCCTCACAGAGAAGTGATGAACACAATGCAGAATGAGATATGCAGTTTCGGATCTGGCCAATGTGTGGGTTTGTTTTGCTTGACTATGCAAATATGTTACAAGGGTCTCCTTTTTCTTTTTCTTTTACCAGTGGTTGGGAGGAGAGGGTTATGAAGGATGAGAGTGACAAAAAAAGAAATATTTATGCATTGAAAAAAATAAAACGACAGTTGCTAACAAAATGGGAACATGGAACTTTCTGGTTAAGATGGTATCATGAAAGAAATTATAGAGAAACCTGGCTCTCTCACAAAAGCTCCTGCAGACAGCCCAGAACTTAACAAAAAGAAAGCCAGAAGCCGGGGTCACTGAGAGAAAGTCCACTAGGGAAGCCAATACAAGATCAAGAATGCAGTACTGAAGCCTGCTAGCACTCTGAGGAGGGATAGTCTTAAGGGGTCTGAAGCCTACAGGCATGGTAGGGATGCTCTAGGGCACCAGAGCACTGACTGGGGCTACTACTAGATAAGGGCTCTCTATTCATCAAAAACTGCTGAGAAAACTGGAACGCAGTCTGGCAGAAATCAGGTTTAGACCAACAGTTCACACTATATATCATAGTAAGTTCCAAACGGTTGCACAACCTAGATACAAAAGGTGCTATCATAAACAAATTAGAGTTAGGAAAGATGTTTTTTACAACCATTGATAGGGGAAGAGTTCTTGATCATATAAAGGTTAGAAAGCTTAAGAATAATAATAACAATAATAACTAAGCTTTCTATAAGTTCAGCATTACAGAAGACGGAAAAGTTTTATTTCATAAAATGGAAAAGGTTTTTCATTTTTAAAAAATCAGCTATACACAAAAAGCCATTCAATTATTCATCCTCTTTGAACCAAGTAGCATTTTTTGCTGTAGCAAAGAAACGAAGTGGGTACTCATCAGTGTGTATGTGTATGGTGTGTATGTGTGTGTGTGTGTGTGTGTGTGTGTGTGTGTGTGTGTGTGTGTGTGTGTGTACAGAGAGGAGGAGGACAAGGAGGAGACAAACGGCTGTCTGAGACAGAAAGAGTAGACAGAAGAAAGATTTAAAGAGACGAGGACTAGAAGGGGTGAGGAGGGAGAGCAGGAGGAAGAGAAGGATGGAGAGAAGAAGGTGGGAAGGGAAGGGGGAGAAAGAAAAGGAGGAAGAGTAGGAGGGAGGAGGAGGCTGCTCAAGAGAGAGAAAAAAGGAGAGACAGAGGAGCGGGAAGCAGGGGGACGATAAGAAGGAAGGGGGAAGAGGAGAGGAGGGGGAAGGGGGAGAAGAGAAAGGAGGAGGAAGGAAGGGGAAGAGGGAGGGGAAGGGGAGGAGGAGGGAGGGGAAGGGCGAGGGCCGCGCACTCCATCACGAGCCTCGTGCCTATCCGGCTTTGTGGAACAGACCGAGGCCCTGGAACGCCGAAGGACGGAGCTCGTGACCAACGTCGGAGTCAACGGCTCCCTTAGTCGAGGGGGTCTGGCGCAGAAGGTGGAAGCCTAGGTGCAGCCCCAGGCTTGGGGCAGCAGCCGAGTTCCTGAAGGCCTAGTGTGCACCTCTCGGGAAGCGGACGCCTTCAGAGGTGAAGGGGGAGGCTCCCTCCGGGGCGGGCTCCTACCCCGTGCCCCACACACCCGGGTAGGCTACCCGCCTTGCCCCCTCCCCCACTCCTACCCTTTTTTCTCTTGGCAGGTTCTCCATGGTGGTGCTGGGCTTCCAGCGTGGGGCCGGACAGGAGGGGCTTCTCCTGCAGCATTGCCCCCAGCCTCCCGAGCCGGCTCTGAGACGGGCAGCCATGTCCAGGACGCCTGGCACCCCTCTCAGCCTTCTCCCCAGATTAACCGGGAGGCTTTGGTTTTTCACAAGGATCCCACGATGGGGATCTGGACTAGTTCCCATTTCAACTGACAACAGGCTGTTTTATGTTTAAAAATAAAAACGATAAAATGACTTACAATTAATGCATTGAATATGACTATGGAGTTTTGTTCAGGGTGGGTCTGTTTGGATTAATGATAGATATAATAATAGCTAATATTTATATAACAGCTAAGGGCACCTAGGTGGGGTAGTAAATAGAGTGCTAGGCCTGGAATCAGGAAGACTCATCTTCTTGAGTTCAGATCTGGCCTCAGACACTTCCTAACTGTGTGAGCCTGTTGCCTCAGTTTTCTCATCTGTAAAATGAGCTGGAGAAGTAAGTGGCAAATCATTCTGGTGTCTTAGCTAAGAAAACCCCAAATGGAGTCATGAAGAGTTGGGGAGAACTGAACAAATATAGCATCTACTATGTGCCAGGCACTGTGAAAAGAAACATACATTCCCTTCGATGAAGACAATATGGCATAGTTGGCCTTTGGTGCTAAGTCAGGAAGACCTGGGTTCAAACAGAAACTCAGAAATAAACTGACTGGGTGACCCAGAACAAGTCACTTAACCTCGTAAGTGCACCAGGTGATGATAAATTGCAGAGAGGATGTTGACCTGCATTGGTAGAATTTCTTCAGGAGTCCCTTTAACACAGAAATCAGAAGGCCAGTCCTTTCCTCTATATTAATGTAAATAATATTTTGGTGTTTTAAGAATCAGAAAATAGCTAATATTTATACAGCACCTACTACATGCCAGGCACTTCACAATTATCTCATTTTATCTTCACAATCTTGTAGGGAGAGTATTATTATTCTCATTTTACAGATGTGGAAACTGAGGAGGTGGTGACTTGCCCAAGGTCACGTAGCTAGTCAGTATTTGAGGCTAGATTTGGACAGTCTTCTTGACTAAAGATCCAGTGCCATATCAGCTCTGCCACCCATGAATTCAAGGAAGTGTAGAAAAAAGAACCAGTAGTGCATGTGCAATATAGTTACATTTCTTAAAAAAAAGAAGAAAAGCAGAAAACTGGGCCAAAGGTGGGAGAATTTTGGTCAGGCCTGAAGGGGAATAGAGAATAAAAGTGTTTTCTTTGCTTATCAGTTAATTGTTAATTCCTTTGGTTCTGTTTTGTTAAAGGCCAAGGGTTTGCTCTTTTGCTCCCTATTTTGTTTGTTTATTTGATTGGTCATTTTTATTGATGTCTATTAAGTTTAATTTTTTTTTAAATAGAAGCAAAATCCATCAGCAAAGGAATCAGTTAGACTTGTACTTAACTGGGAAGTGGAGAGCACATTGTAAATTATGGACACTTCTACACATAGAAGTTGAAGTAGGTGTGCACTTAACCTTTGTTATTTGAGAAAACAAACCCCAAAATTCAAAATAGTTTTTAAAAGAAATTAGGTCATTTTGTAGAGGAGAGAGCCGGAAAGAAGGAGTGGCTCCCGTCTCCTCAGGTTCTGGAAGGTTTACATTATATAAGATTTTGACAAAGGTTTCTGCACACAAGTCACACATGAATCACATGAGGGGAACCCAAAACACGAGTTTGGGTGGATCTAAAACAAGTCCTAAACAAGAATGCTGTGGGTGAATACAGCATCTGGGAGAACCTAAAATTTCTTGCAGCCATCTCTACTATTTCTAGAGAATTACTGAGGTCAGTTTGACATTCTGGGTGCAGTCTCTAAGCATGTAAAGTAAGGTTCAAACAATATTAATGACAAATAATAATCCACACCTCTATTTGCCTCAGTTTCCTCATGTGTAAAAAAAGGGGGGGGGGAATAATACTAGCACTTAACTCCCAGGGTGGTTGTGATAGAATAAGACAACTTTTGCAAAGCACTCTACAAAATTTAAAATGCTATATAAATACTAGCTATTATTATTAATAGTTTGTTGATCATGATGGTAATGACAATAACTTGACCCTGAGTGGCTAGAAAATTGTGATGGAGCAAATATGTGGGACAGATATTTTCTTCTTCCCTCTTGACTTTTACTTAGAGAGACACAGAAAACAAAGGTACTAAGCTTGTTTCTCCCTGTGACATGATCAGCTGGCTTTGCTCTAAAACATTAGCACCAGAGAGCACTATCTCTACCACCCCTTCCTCCTTCACTAGGCAAGCCTCTATACAAGTTGTTCCAACCTCAGCTGATGATCCACTGACATCCTGAGATAGGGCATCTGACAAGTTCAAGCAGAGAAACCTGAAGGATTTGATTAGGCAATAACAACAGAGGAAAAGAGAAGAACAAGTGGAGTGATCGAGTTAGCTGCTCCATTCAGCATTTGTTAAGTGGTTGCAATGCACTGTGGGGCTCCTGGTATGATGCAAATATAAATAAGACCTGATTCCTGGCCTCAAGGAGTTTACAACATTTGTTAAGGACCCACTAATTGCAGATTACTCTGTTATGTATTGAAGAGGTGCAAAGTTTTTGTAAGATAGTCTCTACCTTTAAAGAGTTTAAAAGTAGTAGGGAGAGGGAGGGAGGGGGAGAGAGAGAGAGAGAGAGGAGAGAGAGAGAGAGAGAGAGAGAGAGACAGAGAGACAGAGAGACAGAGAGACAGAGAGACAGAGAGAGAGAGACAGACAGACAGACAGACAGACAGAGAGAGACAGAGAGAGAGAGACAGAGAGAGACAGAGAGAGACAGAGAGACAGAGAGAGAGACAGAGAGAGAGAGAGAGAGAGAGAGACAGAGACAGAGACAGAGACAGAGACAGAGACAGAGAGAGAAGGGAGAAGAAGGTAATAGATGTAATAGATGATAGAGAAATATAGGTAGGTAGATAGATCAATAGATGGAGGCAGAGACACAGAAGAGAGAGAGAGGAAGAAGACAATAAATGATAGATAAATGGTAGCTAGAAGACAGATAAATGACAGACAGGCAGGAAGTAGGGAGAGAGAGAGAGAGAGATCAAAATATGAGGCAGAGACACAGAAGACAGAGAAGAGAGAGAGAAAGAAGATAATAGATGATAGATAAATGGTAGCTAGATGACAGATAAATGACAGACAGACAGTAGATAGGTAGATAGATAGATAGATGGATGGACAGATAGAAAGATAGATAGAAAGATAGCTGAACTCTATACAGTTCACAGTATCATAGATTTAGAGCTAGAAGGAACCTTAGAAGTCATGGAATCTAGTTCCTTCACTGTACAAATGAGGAAACATGCGTAGAGAGGTTAAGTGACAAATACGTTCAGATGTATGTATATTTTTTAACCCTGACTTATGTTTTCATTCATTTAAGGAATTCCCAGTGTGGAAATGCCCCCTACCAATGAAGATCTGGAACTGCTTTTTTTTTTTAACTTCTACTCTTAGAACAGGGCTGCTTAACCTAGGGTATGTGACTTTGTATTTTTTAAAAATATTTTTATAACTCAATATAATTGGTTTCCTTTGTATTTCCATGTATTCTATTTTATGCCTTTAAAAACCTCATTCTGAGATGAGGTTCATAGGCTTCTTCAGGGGTCTTTGACACAGAAAAAGTTAAAGATTCCTGTCTTAGCAAGTTGTATAAAAAGTTAAATGGTACTTGAACCCAAATCTTTTTTACTTTAACTTCAAGGCTAGCTTTCTACACATTACACCATCCTAACTTTCAAACTGGACACATACATTTTTAAAAAATTAAATAGACACATGCTAAAAATTAATGTGCTATGTGCCTGAAATAAAATGACCACATAAATTTTAAAAAAGAGCAATCAACGAGTTGTAGCCAGAGCATGACTTAGAGTCACTAAAGAGCCATCCAGAATTTGGGACTATAGATTTTGCCAAACATACTCAGGTAGATTTACTGAGAAAAGCAAATATTTAAATAGGGAAGGGAGAAAGTAGAAGAGTGAGGGGGTCAATTGAGTCAAACAAATCATCCCTATTTAAATAAATGATACCTTAAGAAGGTAGGTGAGAACATGTCTGATCAATAAATTCATTTAAGACATTAGACTAGTTGTCGGAACAGTCCCTGATCAACTAGAGTGACATTACAAAAGAAGCATGTTTAGATTGGTTGAAGAAACTTAAGCACACACTAGCTGCCTGAAAGATAAGAGTAGGAGCTATGAAAGAGCAGCCCAGCAAAATTCCAGAAGAGGAACTTCTTGGGGTAGGGAAGAAGTGCCTCAGCTTTAGCATTGTCCCAGGTCACCTTCCCTGCCCTTCCTTCCATCTTGGCCAGAGGGGGACCTCATGAGATTCAAAAGGTCTAGAGGATTTCAGATTTCCCATCTTCCCATTAGTATCTGAGCATCATCCTCTGGGATGGTGTCAATTGGCAGCAGGAACTTAGAACAGATAAAAGAGGATGCAGGAAGGCATCTCATTAAGGAGCCCAGAGAAAAACTACATTGGGGGGGAGGGGAACATCTTGAGGACTCCAGTGAAAGGACTTCCATGTACCATGAGTTACACCTTAGATGTGCTTCCTAAGTTTGAGTTCATTTTCTCAGGGACTCTATATGTCCTTGTCAGAGAATATGTAACAGACCTTTGGGGGAACGTTTGCACCAACTCCCCTTACTGTCCCTCCTTGAGTAAATATCTCCTTTCTAAAAACAAATTAAGTCTGGCTGATTATTGGATATCACTAATAATCTTGGGGGAAAGGAAGCACACTGGTGGGGACTCAGGAGCTATTACACTAGACTGATTCCCCTGAGCCACTCGAGGCTAATCCTAGACTCCTGAAAAAAAATCAACAGGAATGGAAATTGATAGAGTTGCCACAGGGCATGTATTACATGTATGATTATGTATGCTCTATGTTTTGGTTATGCTTCTATATGTACATGTTATCTCCTGCAATAGAATGTAAGCTTCTTGAGGACAGAGAGTACCTGGAACATATAGGCATGTAATAAGCGCTTGTTGATAGATTCACCTGGAAAAGTCATTTTTTTCTCTCTGGGCCTCAGTTTCTTCATCTGTAAAACAGGGAGGAGCGAAGTAGATGATCTCTAAGGTCTCTTTCAGCCTTGAAATTCTAATATTTTAAGAAAAAAAATAATAATTTCCTAACAATTAGAGTTATCCAGAAGTGGAATTAG